GCCCACAGTAATTATCTAAATTCTGGAACACTAACTGATCAAATATGAAATGAGATGCCACTCTAATAAATCATGTGTGTGCTCATTCTATGAGTTCTAGTCCTTACAGAGCCCTGACTAACACCCTCAGTGACTCTGAGTAGGTAAATTAACTTTCTTTTAGCCTTATTAGCCATTCCTTCCTACGAAACCGGAAAAACTGAAGACTAGGTGAGTGCTGGCAAGTTGTGATCACAGTCATTCAGTTACTATTTATACAGCACTATGGACACACACCCCCTAAATGGCTGGAGAGTTGTCTCCTGCAAAAACAAAGTTCTCTCTCCTTACTTCACTCAGCTGTTACCTTACCTCCACATTTTACGGCAGATCAAGTACGCCTAATACTCAGACCACAGAGCCAGACTACTGTTCCTGTCTGTCTTTCTGGAGACCCCTAAGTCGGAAGTACCCAAACCCACCTTGAAATAGTCCGACTGTTTCAAGTATCAAGAAATCTTGCCATAAAGCTTTATCAATGGAGTAAGTAATTCTACCTGTTTCTGAATCCTGAAATGACCATTACCTTGTGCTAACAACTCTTCACCAAGCTGTATCTCCTCAAGGAAGAATTTCTGAACAGCTTCAGCATCTTTTAAGTCAGGTAACTGGAAACAGAACATGCAGAAATTAAGCCGAGGATATAACCAACATACAGAAAACCACTAATAAGAGAATTCATTCTAAGAACAGTATTTCACGCACATTTTCTCTGTGTGTTACATATGTTACAAGTGTGTACATACATTCACAAAGATGCACAACATTTTTGTTGCTTGGGCTTGAGGCTGAACCTAGCAGCCCTTGCACACTGAAGAGTACTTTACCACTGAGCTACATTCCAAGTCCTCTTTTGGCCAGGATCTTAACAGGCTGGCCTCAAACCTTCCAACCTTTGGCCTGAGGGACTGCAGACCCGTGTCAACAGGACTCAAATAGCCAAACATACCACTGAGGAATGACAGCATAGTCATTATGCATTGTTGATCACCTCGGCTACGTCTAATCTTTTTATGATAAACAACCATTAGCATCCGATGAAGAAAAAGTGTGGCTCAGAGGTAGAGAGCCTGCCCGGCACACCCAAGGGCCACTATCTCCAGAAGGTTAGACACACCCCCACACACTGTCAGACTCACAGGTACCATGGTCTTAAGTGAGTTCACTTTCATATCCCACACCTTGAAAGGTGGTCTGGACATGTTAGAACAACAGTGGTTCACGGCTTACATTCACTGGAACAGTATCTGGTCGGCTATGGTTATCACTCTACTGGCTCAAAAGAACAGAAAGTCTAACGTTTATCAGGCCCATTTTTCCTTGCCTGAGTGTGCATCTAGAAGAACCATTAGTGGTCCAATAGTTCGTGTTCCAGGGAAGCCCAGGGAAGGGATGTCAGCCAGAGGGAAAGTGACATGTGCAGTGACTAGCATTTTACTTACACAGCACAAAATATTTTAATCAAGTACATAAAAACCTATGTAGTCATTAAAAATTATGAACTCAGGACCTATGAAAAGAAAAAAATGGAATAATTTATATTCTACAAGTTAGAACTTATTTTACTAACTTTAGAGAGCTCTGGGATTAAACAGACAGGGTTCTTGTTGTCACTGAAGACATTCCCCTATGATCCCCAGGGTGTCTCTGCCCACCTTCTCCTGTGACCAGATTACAGAGCGGGTCTTTTAAATGACACTGGATGAAGGACAATCCAATCAAATGCTGTCTTTTACCATTTTGAAGTAGCTGAGAACACTAACTCTTGGCGACCTTGCTGTCTACCCAGAGAGGTGTTCTGTTATCACCATCAAAGGAAAATAAAGGAGGCCTGAAGAGCCTGCCGTCTAAGTTATTCTCTTACACACAAAAAGATTTTTAATACCTTGGAAAGCCCAGCTCTCTCCTTAGCAAGCTTCTGTTTCTTTCTTCCTACAAGAAAAACAAAATAAAATTTCATTTGGCTATCATCACAAAGATCAAAACATTTAATTGATGCAGCAAATCATTAATTCTACAAAACATTCCTAAACCCCAGAATCCTTGGCCCTATTTCTTAGTGAGTGAACTGACATTTCAGAATAGGACTTTCCTCTTTTCTTTTGCATCACCAGGCCTACCAATTCAAAAGACACTGTCCCAACCAGCTGCACACCAACAGAACAAAGCTACCTTCCCAACATAAAAGAATTAAGCCATCGTTACTGAAATACATTACATTCAAGTTTTACTACTAAGTTATCTTAAGCAAGACGTTTTGTAAAAATAAAATATGTGCATATGACTTTGGCGGGTTTTTTTGTTTTGTTTTGTTTTTGAGACAAGTTCTATGTTCTCAGGATAGTCTGCCTGCAACTTCAACACAGCTGAGGCCCCTGGCCTCTTGATCCTTCTGCCTCCAGCTCCCAGTGCAGGGATTGGGCATGCAACATTGTCCCAGCATCATTTATACATTTGACCAAAGAAAAAAAATGGAGGGGGGAGCTCCAAAACACACTCTGAAAGTCTTACCTGCGGGCTGCTTAGTTAAAAACAGCCTCCCTGCTCTGTAATGGTATGCCCAGTAAGGAGTGGTAGGTGTATGCGGACCATATGCAGGTTTGTATCCAATGATTGACACTAGAGTAAGGCACAGTAACCTGGGCCTCAATAAAACTGATCTAATAATAGCACATATAATTATGAGGCTTACAGCAGACTTGTGAATAAGAAATGTAAAATATTTAGTACAAGTGCCTAGGCTTATGTTCTGCCTTTTTGGCATCCCAGTTAATAGTCAATACCTAGAAAGCAACAATCACTCAATACTATGACCTGGACAGAAATAACCAGGGGCAAGAGAGAAAGACTCTCCCAATGGACTAGATGGGTAAATTGTGATCCAGAAAGTCTAACTCTCCAAATCAGTCAAGAAAAGCAAAAGCCACCAACCAAGCAAACCATCTCTGAAAACCTAAAAGTACTGAGTCCAAGTGTCAAACTCGTGACTGAAAGGTCTGCTAGCTAATACTTGATGACAGCTACTCAAGCAGCTAAACTCCAGCCCTCCTGCCCTCATTCTATCTGCGCCGCCAGACACACCATCCAGCTCAAAACCACCTCATAAACAAGGCAAAAGTGTGCAGTAAGCAATGAAAAATACAATATGCTAAACCTGAATTTTGATAAAATAACAAGGCAATGAATCCTACTGGAGTAAAAGTCAATCTCCACATTAGCACAGTGCATGGGCGTAGGTTAACTGATAAGATCCTTATTACTGTTTCCTTTTTAGCAGGATGATTCAAGTTCTGCCTTTAATTTCATAAGATTGTCTCTGTAACAATGGGACAGCTGGTAACAGACTAAAAACACGTTATACAGTCAATCAGCAAAATCAAGCCTTTTTTTTTTTTTTTGTTCATGTTAAGTCTCAGAAACTTGTAAATCTACCAAGTTTAAACAACTATATCCACAAAAAAAAAAACAAAACACAACAACTATAAACCAGGTACATGCCTTTAATCTCAATACATAAGAGACAGAGGTAGGGGGAATTCTCTGAAGTCAAAAGCAGCCACCATTAGAGATCTTGTCTCAAAACAAACAAACAAAAACATGCAAAGCCTAAGTTCAGAACCACACTAAATCCAAGCCATTGGTCATTTAAATGTCACTTAATGTATTCCTAAAGGGATCTTTCACCAAGTGCAACCAAGCAAAGCACCTGAAGCGAGTAACTGCTTCAAAACTTGAGGTCAAGCCTCAACACCAATGGGCGGGTGGGGTAATGGAGTCTGCTCAGAGAAAGATACCTAACCGAATCTTAGGAATCACCCACTTATAGAAAGAGACTGTGAAATTAATTGCTTGTTAGCAAAATTTGCCAGAACAAACAGAAACTCTTAGCTTTCATTCCTTTTTGTTGTACTGGGGACTCCTAGAGTGTGGCTTTTCTGTCTTTCTGCCTTCTCCTTACTGTTGCAGTTAGTAACTCACTGAGATCAGCAGGGAAAAACCAACCAACCAACCAACCAACCAGGCTAGAACAGTGACAGGGCGGTGGAGGATGGCCTAACCTGCAAAAGGCCGTGGGTCAGTCTCCGGAAGGGCAAGAGAAATGCTGAAAACATTTCGAAAACAACCCTAGCAGGGCGTAGTGGTCACACCTTTAATGCCAGCATTTGGAGAGGCAGCTGATCAGGCAGGCTGATTGTTTGAGGTCAAGGCCAATCAGGTCTACACACAGTGAGCCCCAGTCTTAAAAAAAAAAAAAAATCCCCAAACCCTAATTTTCCTGAAACAAATTAGGACTTCTTCAAACAAAAACTACTTTCAAGATTTCCAACAAGGCCTTCCGAAGACTTAACCTGCTTGGCTATTATGTCTGTAGACCCACAGCCTCAAGGCATTGAGTAGACTGGCCTACTTCACAGCCAGCATTTCCGGAGGGTCTTCCATTTTCAAGGACGTATCATCAAGCCCTACTCCACAGTTAGGAATGAGCTGGAGTGGAGGCTGGTGGCCCCAAAAATGCAGTCTCCGAATGCAAGCAGCATTCTTTCCATTATTCTACCTAGCAACGGACAAAAACAAATTCTCTGTATCACCCACCACATGATGAAAATGATTCGGCTACGAAAAATTAAAATGACTTAGAAGAGCCGGCGTGGTGGCACACACCTGGAATCCCAGCACTTGGGGAAGCAGAGGCAGGAGGATCTCTGTGAGTTCGAGGCCAGACTGGTCTACAGTTTAAATTCAGGACCGCCACGGCTACACACACAGAGAAACCCTATCTCGGGAAAAAAAGAAAAAAAAAAAAAAATTAGAAGTACTAGAGATGGGGTTGCTGGCTAAGCACCCTTAGAAAAGCGCAAGAAAACGCTTACTGTTCCAACACATGTGCTTTCGGACTGTCGAAAATCAGTCCCCTGAAACCCACGGGCGGACCCCGCGGGTGACTGCCCGGGGCTCAGCGAAGATGTCGCAGGTATGAAATAGGGCCGAGCCACGTGAGGAGCGCAGCCCTTTGGACTCCCCGCGCTTGCTCTAGCATTCACTCATACCTTGGAGGCACCAGAGCACAGCCTCCAAGAGGGTTTAAGAATGCGGGGCCCGCACCGCTCTGAGGCCGCGGGCAAGGCCGGCAAGGGCAGGCACGAGTTCGGGGCCGGCCCAGAAGCTACTGCAAGCGCCCACCGAGGGCGCTCACGCTCAACAGTAGAGGGAGCGGGGGGCTGCCACCGGGGCG